CCTAAAGATTGTTATTGTCGTACAGTGTTTTAAATTCTGGAAATCTCAGAACAAGTTTTTGAAATATTTGTGTATTGCATTTATCATTAAACAAAAGACATAGCAAGTTCTTTATAAAACATAAATTAAGAAGGGAAATGGTATATTAAATTCAAGCTTTCAGATGACTTTAAGGTTAAAATCCTAATGAAAAGACTTAGAGTTAATAGGTAGGTCTGTTATACATTATAGATATTCATATTGATAGTATTAAGTATCACACATAACATTACAAACCAGAAAAGAATTATACATTGATGTTGTTTGCAAGACAAGTGTGAGATACATAATCCAATATAAAGTGTTCTAGAAAAAAAAATTATTATTTGTCATAATAATATTCATACTAAATCACTTAGGATTTTATCAACATTTTTTTTCTTTTAAGCAGTATTTATATAATATAAATAAAGTTTATAAATAAAGTATATAATATAGTTGTTGTCAATATATTTGATATAAATTATGATCCCTGTATTTTCAGTATAACATTCTGTTGAACTACTGGGAATAGAAATTATGATTCCTGTATTTTCGTTAAAACAATATATTCTGTTGAACTACTGGGAATAGAAATTATGATTCCTGTATTTTCGTTAAAACAATATATTCTGTTGAACTACTGGGAATAGAAATTATGATTCCTGCAATTTCGTTAAAACAATATATTCTGTTGAACTACTGGGAATAGAAATTATGATTCCTGTATTTTCGTTAAAACAATATATTCTGTTGAACTACTGGGACTAGAAATTATGATTCCTGTATTTTCGTTAAAACAATATATTCTGTTGAACTACTGGGAATAGAAATTATGATTCCTGTATTTTCGTTAAAACAATGCATTCGGATAGAAATTATGATCCCCCTGTATTTTCAGTATAACATTCTGTTTAACTACTGCATCATTGTTAAGATAGCAGTCAATATGATGGTTGTTTCAAAATAATATTCTGATTTGTGTCATAAATATCAATTGAGGTCTTATTGTAATCATCATGTGACCACTTAAAAAAGAATTGGTTTAAAGTTTGTATTCTAATTGACCATAATCCAGTGCGTGGGTCGTTGGCGAAATAGTCAACAAGCCTCCAAATATGGCAAGGCTATAAAACAACTGTCTGTTATTATAAAGAAATAAAATAAACTAAGAGATTTAATGCTTTATTTCACTGGTTAGTGATTGTTACGTATTTTTTTGCCCGTATTTTACGCGTGGCTGTAATGGGCGTTCTGGTCGGTAATCGTCCATTAAGACAGATGGATGTTGAAGATGAATACCACTAATGACATCTAAAATTGTTCTCTTGCTGGTATAATTTGAAATTGTTTGTAAAGGGTTACCAATTTTTGTTTGTTGTTAGTTTTTTTGTCCATCGTGTCATTGACGTCTGTTGAACTCTTTACTGTCTGTCTCGTACATGGAAGGTGTCTCGTGTACTAAAGCTGTCTCTTGGAAAGCATTGTCCTCCTCTCTTCGGTGTAGCGAATTGCACTTTTACAGTACTGTGCCACTTTGGTGCCAGAAACTTTAAAGAGAGAAGCATAATAATTATGGTCTTTAATATTTTTAATCTTTAAAATTATCTTCAATAATGTTTAGTCTTAGGTAGACCATAAGTTTAGTTAAATCACCTTGAACTGGCTGACTTCAATTCATAGACACCCAGAAGCTGATGAGTTTTACGTACCTGTTGATAAGTTATTAATTTCTTGATTTACTTCTGCAGTAAAATGGTAACAAAAGTCTGATCTACTAATTATGTTTACCATGATTAATTCGGCAAGCATGGTGATTAATTCGGTAAACATCGCCAACTCATGGAAGGTAGTCGAGCTTTTTAATCATGCATTATAGATCTGCAAATACATAAAAAAATACTGTTGCAGTAAATTTTCATTAAAATTGCTTTTTCATTTCAAATTGCATAATAAATTTTTATAAAGAATGTAAATGAAAAAGGAAAGACTAAATGGTTAAAAGAGGGAATAAGACAAACTGTTACAGTGAATCCTGTAAGCAAGACTGTCACACAGGAATGGAAAATGGTTATAACATACAGTTTTCTCAAAAGGTAACCTCACAAAAACTTAAAATATGTTTTAATAGATGATACTCGATTGGTTTAAATAGGGGTACTCAATTCTTCAGTAAAAAAAATATATTCAAAGTTTATATGTTAAAATTTAAAAATTTAGGCTTTATGTGTGAATTTCTTATTGCAATTTTCCTCCCGTAAGCTTTAAAGTCATACAAAGTTTGGTTTTAAATTTACAAATTCAGAATTTTTGCTATAATTTGCTTTTTCCAGATCAGTGCTTGAACAAAAAAAGTTGATTTGAAATAAAAATTTTACCCCGCCTTTTTCTTCCCTATATAGAAAGCAAGTTGACAGATGTATTTCCTAAATAAACAATGTTGCAGTGCTTTGTTAAATTTCAATAGTTGTGGAGCATCCATAAATAATTGTCGAAGCGCGTGTCAGGTCCACGGGTGGTGGACATTAGACTTGATCAAGAGACTGCTGCTAGTGGCCTGAGGGGTCAAGAACTAAACACCGCTTCTCCTTTCTCAATCTAAGACATTCTTATTGAGGTTGATTTGAGCGACAGTTAAAAAACGGTTCATTTGATGTAAGGGAAAGATGAGTCAAGATAGCCATTTAAGATTGAGGTGCAATGTAGTGTTTGATTAGATGGAAAAGATCGGTTTGATTTTTGAAAAGTATTATTTTCTTTAAATTGATTGAATTTTGAACAACCCTTTTATCAACCCCTATTGCACACTGTAATGAAAGACAGGGAGACTGGTCCTTAAGTTTTGTAATTAAGTGTATTGTGATATAATGGACAACCATGGTCCCAGTCATGTTTCTCGAATTTCTAAATTAAAGCTGAAGTAGAAAATTGTCAGAAGTGTAACTTTGACTCGACCAAAGAAAATTTTGTACCAATACTAATTGTACTATTGTAATATTATAAGAACGGTTGATTGTGGAAACTGTTTGAAATTAGTGGTAAAATTTTCGAAAAGGCCAGATCAAAAAATAAGAATGATGAAAGCAAAGGTGAAAATTGCCGACTTGGTTTGATCGAGTCTGTTTATTGCAGATATTATGAAAGATGCAACATCACTCTGACATGTCTCTTCCCATTGGCTTTAAAGTAATATTCAATCTTTGACATAATTTAAGTACATGTAATGGAATCATAATGATGCCAAAGGGCCAAAAAAGTATATCTAATGTTTTAAAACAGGGGCATTGACTATTATGTCATAATTGCTGATACTGCTCAAAGAGTTAAAAAATTCTAGTGCAAAATTTAATGATCTTCAGAGGTTCACATTACTTCATTATTGAAAAGATGCTGTCTGAATATTGTTTATTCTATGATATAAACAAGATATTATATAGATTTGGCTTCCCCATGAACACAATTTTTAACAGAACATAAAAGAGAAAAGATAAAATTTTGTTACTTATCATAATTGAATGAAGCTGGAGATGCCATTTTTACCTTGCGTATTATAATGCACCAGCCTGCAGTTTCTGACTTGAGTGGGAATTTTGACTTTTTTGATTATCAACACTCTCAAACCCCAGTAAAGAGTCCCTGTTTTGCTTAGTAACGTCTCAGCTAAATGACTATTCTTTGGTTCAAAAGCAGAATCTTCACATAGATCTGAATCAATGCGGGTCATAGAGACAGAAGTAAAAGTTTGCTCATTTCTCAAGCTGTTCCCCAAAATGTCCGATGTCTGCATCCATGTGATCAAAGCCAGACTGATTCTGATTGCTTTTTAATTTTATCATTTTGATTGATCCGGATAACTTTCAATCCATGGACAAATCAGGAAAACTTATAATAGATGGACAGTTTCAAAAACAAAGCAGGACTAGTTGTACAAATTTAGCGCGACTCTGCATACTGAAATAATCAGAATATTTGAACCGATGGATATATTCGAAAAAACTTTTAATCCATGGACAAATCTATCCACTTGGAAAACTTTCCATAGATGGACGAATCCAGAAAGCTTAGAATAGATGAGTTCAAATTGCAAAGCAAGACAACTTTGTAGAAACAGCTTCAAGCCTTGCATTCTGAAATAATCAGAATATTTGAAATGATATATATGCCAAAAATGATTTCATAATTTAAGATAAGATAATACTAGGAAGCCTGCGTTTTATTAGAAACTGTTGATCTGTTACAAAGATTTTTTTTGTGTTGATTAAAAGATATCTTACATCTTGCTACGTCAATAGTAATTGAATGATATTTTATGGAGATAGACTAAAGTACAAAAAGGTCAGTATTTAGTGAGAATACAGGCTACCGTCTAAAGGCAAGAGGTTGAGTTGTATTTGAGAACCATCTTGATAATAAAAAATAATCTTAGCAGGGTCGACATAATCTGATTTTGACTTACTTCTTTGTGTAATATTTCAGCATTTCTTTATTTGTCCCTTTAGGCTAATAATATTTATAAATTATCACTACTGTTAGTACAGGCTGTAGGATATCCAAAGCAAAAGGGACACAAGATGTTGCCGTTGCTGCTTAGAATATCAAATCATAAAATCCCCCAAAAAACGCTGTTAGAATGAAAGCATTTGAATCATGACAGTAGAGAGTAACTGAGTACACAGTCCATCATTGATGCCCTTATCGTAATAAGCCAAGAAAATTGCCACCAGTATTTAACCATGCAATCTGACCAGGCTCTATACAGTTGGCTGACTGACTTCAAATTTTTTATGTTGATTTCCTAAAAAACTGACATTTCCTAAAATTGAAGCTGGACATGTCAAATAAAAAAATTTGCTTTAAAACTTCGAAGTTCTGAAAAATTAATCAACAAATTATCAGAATAAACTCTCTCTTTGTAATATGATTTTAAGGTTCTGTTAAAAACAGTATTTTTACCGTTACTTACAATTTGTTTTCTATTCCAGGTTTGATCTCTTACACAGAGTACCTGTTTTTGCTGTGTATATTGACAAGTAAGTAAAATAACTGCACATTTATTAATTGATGTAAAAACATCATTATATGGATTTATTGGTTATATGGATTGCTTGGTTTTTCATCCTGGGTAACAGCTACAAAAGTGATTACCACCTGATTGAATTGGTCACCGTGTCTAACTGTCCTCATGTCGACTGACTTGCTGTGGACCTATAAACAAGTTGTCATCATAAAAAGATTTGGAGAGTGCTTGCTTTTTAACATCAAGTCATGTAAGATGCATTCCAGAAAGTTGTAAAAGTTTTTGATTTGCTATAATCCTCAAAAGATGCTTTGCATTCTTAAGCAATTTAGCATATGCTTAATAATTTTTCAGTGTGCTTAACCGAATTTTGGCATTACCTGTCATACATTGTGGTTTTAAAAAATGAAACCAGTGTCACATTATCAAGCAATGACTTGAGGAATATAAAAAAGTTAAATACCTTCAGATAGCATCCATTTAGAATGAATTCTGCAGACATTTTGGATTTGAGATCAGTGTGGGGGAGATTTTGTTAATGGCAAATTCATTACATATTCAGACTTTGGAAGATTTGGAGGGATGATTTTATTTTATGAATGAAATTGCACCTTGGTTTTGTCAAGATTTCAGTTCAGAAAAAATCATTGTACTTTAAGCAGGCTTTAAAACCTTTAATTTCTTTCTGTTGGTTATCCTCTTTGATGTTGGTTATCATATTTGCTGTTAGTGATCATGTTTTGCTGTTGGTTATCTTATTCGATGTTGGTTATCATGTTTTGCTGTTGGTTATCCTCTTTGATGTTGGTTATCATGTTTTGCTGTTGGTTATCCTCTTTGATGTTGGTTATTATCATGTTTTGCTGTTAGTTATCATGTTATGCTGTTGGTTTTCTTCTTTGATAATGGTTATCATGTTTTGCTGTTAGTGATCATGTTTTGCTGTTGGTTATCCTCTTTGATGTTGGTTATCATGTTTTGCTGTTGGTTATCATGTTTTGCTGTTGGTTATCATGTTTTGCTGTTGGTTATCATGTTATGCTGTTGGTTATCTTCTTTGATGTTGGTTATCATGTTTGATGTTGGTTATCTTCTTTGATGTTGGTTATCATGTTTGATGTTGGTTATCATGTTTGATGTTGTTTATCATGTTTTGCTGTTATTGATCATGATTATGCTGTTGGTTATCTTCTTTTATGTTTGTTATGTGTTGCCTTTTGTTTTACTCTTTTGCTGTTTTATCATGTTTGAAAGTAATTTATCATGTTTTGCAGTTGGTTACCCTCTTTTCTTTGAAGTTATCATGCATAATATTTTGCAGTTAGTTTACCTCTTTTGCTGTTAGTTATCATATTTTGCTGTTTAAGTTATCTTATTTTTCTGTAAGTTATCATGTTTTGCTGATAGTTTTCCTCATTTGATGTAAGTTACCACATTTTAATGTTTCATGTTTTGATGTTTATCATTATGTTTTGATGGTACTTTAATTCAGTTTTTCTTTTATTGATTAAGTTGCATGTGCTATTAAATATATTATCTTGTGTGCTGTTATTTTATCGTTTTTGTCGTTAGTAAATCTGTTTTGCTGTCTGTAATATAGTCTCTTTTATAGTTAGTTATGTTACAAATTTGACTATAAATTATATAACTGCCTTTAAATATACTTTAATCATACAAAATGATGTCTCAAATTAGGGTCTATACTGATACCAAAATATCTGTGTATTCTCTAAGTTATATATCTACTTAACATTAGAAAAGTTGATGTTTCCCTAATTTTTAGCTCGACTATTCGATAAGAATAAGTAGAGCTATTGCAGTCACCCGAGCGTCGGCGTCGGCGTAACCACTTATGTTAAAGTTTTTGTAATAGTTCAAATATTTTCAAAGTCCATTGACATATGGCTTTGAAACTTTGCACACTTGTTCACCATCATGACCCCAACCTGTAGACAGGAGGAGGTAACTCTATCAAGCATTTTGACAGAATTATGCCCCTTTTTCAACTTAGAACTTACGTTAAAGTTTTTGTAATAGTTCAAATATTTTCAAAGTCCATTGACATATGGTTTTGAAACTTTGCACACTTGTTCACCATCATGACCCCAACCTGTAAACAGGAGGAGGTAACTCTATCAAGCATTTTGACAGAATTATGCCCCTTTTTCGACTTAGAATTTACGTTAAAGTTTTTGTAATAGTTCAAATATTTTCAAAGTCCATTGACATATGGCTTTGAAACTTTGCACACTTGTTCACCATCATGACCCCAACTTGTAAACAGGAGGAGGTAACTCTATCAAGCATTTTGACAGAATTATGCTCCTTTTTCGACTTAGAATTTACTTTAAAGTTTTTGTAATAGTTCAAATATTTTCAAAGTCCATTGACATATGGCTTTGAAACTTTGCACACTTGTTCAACATCATGACCCCAACCTGTAAACAGGAGGAGGTAACTCTATCAAGCATTTTGACAGAATTATGCCCCTTTTTCGACTTAGAATTTACGTTAAAGTTTTTGTAATAGCTCAAATATTTTCAAACTCCATTGACATATGGCTTTGAAACTTTGCACACTTGTTCACCATCATGACCCCAACCTGTAAACAGGAGGAGGTAACTGTATCAAGCATTTTTTTTACTATCAAGCACTAAGAATAGTCGAGCGTTGCTGTCCTACCGACAGCTCTTGTTTAGGTAGTATTTTATTTATTATTTGTCTTCGTTTAATAGAAATGATAGTGGAAATGATAAAGTGAAAGTGCATTGGATGTTATTATTGAAGAAATGAAATACCACCCATGTTTAGATAGCTAAAACACCCCCTTCTTCTGTTATTAATGTAATGTAATTGAATTTTATGGAAAATTACGATGCATTCTGCAGATATAACTTCCAGAAATAGATCCCTGGTTTTTTTTAAAACTCTGTAATTAAAGCTTGTAATAACCAATGCAATCCCCTATAAAATGCAATAGTTTGATTATTTTAATTATTCTTATAGCTTGATTGCTAATTTTGAGATTTATTGTTAGAAATGATAGAATTAAAATTATGTTTTTTATATTAAAGAAAAAAATGTGGCATTATCTATGATTTAAACATAATAATAATTGTTTTCATAAATATTTCTGTAGTGCATTTTATTTTTAATGCAAAATTTAATGCAAATTTAACGTAACGTCAGAATTACCAGAGTGCATTTGTTATGGGTTATATGGTACATTCTGTATATATTTAGTTTTACCAGAAAAGTTCTAAGGGATTATGTTTTTTTTCCAGTGGGAAAATATGCTTGAATGATCATACTGTTTAATGTCTTTGTAGCTGAGGATAAATATGATGTGTGTTTTAATATTTATACAGAATATGTCATATCACATTTTTATGATTCTTTATTTATGTTTCTAAGCCTTTGATACTGAAAGTTTCCCTAATGTTTGTGGTATGTCTGATTTAAAGGGGTAGATTATTACAAAAACAGATTATTTGATCAGTGGAACTTAATCTTATAACTCATTAATAATATTATGAATTGTATGATTATTATATATGTTTGTCCTCTGACTCCTATAATTATGTTATATTAAGCTGATTTCTCATCAGGTAAAAATGGTCAAATATTATTGATGCAACAATGAATGATAATTGCCCTCATGATACAGTAAAGTATCATAATACAATGCTGACATGTTCATGAATGAATCATTATTATTGCCCTCACTATACATTATCGATACAATGCTGAGGTGTTCATGAATGAATCATGATTATTGCCCTCATGATACAGTATCTGTATAGCATCGTGATACAATGCTGAGGTGATCATGAATGAATCATGATTATTGCCCTTATGATACAGAATCTAAAAAGTATCAATATACAATACTGAGGTGATCATGAATCATGATCATTGCCCCCATGATACAGTATCTAAAAAGGTATCAAGATACAATGCTGAGGTGTTCATCAATGAATCATGATTTTTGTCCTTGTGATTCATTAGTATCTATTCATTTTTTTGATACAATGCTAGGGTATTGATACAAGACGATACATTCTACTTATTGTTTTGTTTTACTCTTTGAATAGTAACTGTAATTCCATAAACTTGTAATTGTTTTATTGTTATTTCTTTATCTTGAAGAATGATTATTTAAGGTGAAAAGGTTTTTGTAGTCAAGATCCAGTCACAGAACTTTGGTATAGTGGATACATTCAAACTTGAAGAAAGGTGTGGACATTAGAAACTGCATTCATTTGGTCAAAATGTATATACACTGTGTACAACCAAGATATTCCAAGATATTGTGATAATATCATGATACATTTTAGTTGCAGTAACTCTGGCCCCGTGTTCACAAAGATTTAAGGATCAGGATCAAGATCAGGATCAAATTGAAAACCTCTAATATTCTTCATTTTTTATCCTCATAGATTAAATATTTAAAATTAATTTGATAAAACTGGACTTGCAGTAGCAAATAAATGAAATTTTAGAATAAATTTATTGTTATTTTACAAGATACGGACATTTTACAGTTGATCCAAATATTGATCCTGATCCTAAAATTGATCCTTATTTTGATCCGAATATTTTTGTAATTGTTTTGTTATTTGTTAATTTTATTCCAAAATAGTTTGATTTCTTTGCAAATCAGCAGTTTTTTACATTTTGAATATTTATTATTTTATTCCAGCAAAACACAATAAATTTTAGTAACATAAAACAATGGAAATAAAATCAGGATCACTTGATCCTGATCCTGATCTTTTCTTTGTGAACACGGGGCCGGGTTCCTATCTTGTTTTCATTGTGGAGCATTAAGAGAGCAGCAGGTACCATGATGTATGTCTTAATTGTTTTGACATATAATCTGTTAATACTATTACAACTGATTGTACTGGCCATGATTATTGATGCATGTACATGTATCATTCAACAGATTGTATTAGTTACACAATTGAGTATATTAACACTGTACTGTCATAATACAAGGGGATGGAGCAA